ATCTAGATCTAATATAATATAAGCTATTCTATCAGAAACGCTATTATATGTAGAAATGTATAATGTGAGATACTTTTTGACAAGAACTCCTACTCCACCATATGTTTCGTCTATTTTCCCTGTATAGTATAAGCGATTTTCAGAATCCAGATTTCCAGCATAGATGTATGCATTATTCGCCTCTTCCTTTCACGTCTGACAGTCCTACAATATCCCACTTTATCTTTTGCTGAAATTTTGCATTCATTTTTGCGTAATCTTTGTGTGGTTATTGGAAATAAAAGAGTGTCGCTTACTAGTCCTTGGGGAAGAAACGTAAGCAATTATTGGCACTGGTGAAACTCCCGAGTTACTGATAAGTTGTAGTGATTGGCAATTAGCATCAGCACTAATAATTGACTTTTTCGTAATTAATCTTTAAACTTTTGAGATAATGACCTATAGGTATGGAGAACAATTAGTTTTTTGTAAAGTGAACATTCCGCTGTTTTTTCATATTGTTTACAATGCCAAAAGTCAAAAGAGATATAAAATATCAAAAAAGATATACCGAGGAAAAACTTCAGAGTGCTCTAACAGACATTGAAAATGGAATGCCCGAGAAACTGATCGCAAAGAAATTTGGAATTCCCAGATAAACCCTTTAAAATAGACTAAGTGACAAATTCAAAAAATTGTCCACAAGCCTGCAACGTACTTAACAAAATATAAGTAAGATGTGTTTGAGTAGTGAATTACTGACTTATATAGGAAAGGTTTCCTTAGAAAGAGGGACAATATTCAGTCTTCAGTGAAAACCTTGGATGTCAATGTACGAAAGAGTCCATTCAAGGGTAACTAACCTGAGAGGCGCTGATATAAAGTCAATGGCCGGATAAACGTAATTTAACTAACTATCGACAGAAACTAAATTAACAACAAAGTATGTTTTTCATTGATATAAGATTTTATACACATTCAAGTATATATACACGAATGTGGCGACTGCCCAAATCGGTAAAACTGGTAAAACTTTTAAACAACGTATAGCAAAACATAAAGATGCTTTTAATAATAGAAAAGCAGATTATACGTTCGCACTTTACCTTCTATAAAATCATAATCATTCCTTTATTGACGAATTTCAAATTCTTCACATTTAAAATAAAGGCCTTAAGCTATCTTTATTTGAATCTATGGAAGTTAACAAATTTAAAAATACAGGCATAGTTCTGAATGACCTACTTGAGACGAACAGTTCTCACCTCCTCAACTTATTCAGTTAAAGACTATAAAGTGTAAACGTGTAGCATTTTAAAATTCTTTTGTATGTATTGAAATCACCCCGTATATGTTAAAACACCGAAATATTCTTTTAATCCTTTTTGCGTCGCCGAGTCGATAATAAACACATTTTAAAGTTTGTTTATATATCACAGATGCATATTTCCTTAGTATTTTCTTTGATCGTTAAGCCGCTAAATTTTGCGCCTGAATTAACCACACAGATCGCTGAGAGAAAGTTTTGAGGGGAAGAGAATTACATGACTCTCTGTTAAGGCGCTGTCAAGGGCAGTTGGTTTCGTTGTAGTCCGAATTTTCATCAATATTCGTAATGGTTTGTGTTTTTTGTTTTTTTTTTATGAAAAAATGTATAGTACTATGGCAGTTAATACTTTTTTTGGCAGTTAATATGGCTTTTTAACCTCTATTCAGAAGAGGTAGTTCAGAAGGCACTAAAGGAAACATCAAGTGGAATTAAAGTCAACGGAGAACTTATAAATAACATCAGATACGCCGATGATACTTTAGTAATCGCAGAGTCAGTTGAAGAATTGCAGGTTCTGATAAATAAGATTGTAGACAGTAGCGAAGAGGCTGGACTTACTTTAAATATCAAAAAGACGAAATTCATGACCATCGCAAAGACACAACAACAGGACACGTTATGGATTAGGGACGAACTCGTTCAAAAGGTGAACAGATATACATACTTGGGAACAATCATAACCGAAAACAACGATTACACACAGGAAATCAAATCACGTATAGGAAAAGCCCGATCAACATTCAATACTATGAGAAAAGTACTTTGCAGCAATGATCTGAGTCTGCAACTTAAAGTACGAATGCTTAGATGTTATGTATTTTCTGTGTTATTATATGGAATGGAGGCTTGGACGCTTAAAAAAGATATAAGTAACAGAATAGAAGCGTTTGAGATGTGGGCTTATAGAAGAATTTTAAAAATAAGTTGGATCGATAAGGTTACGAACAACGACGTTTTAAAAAGAATGAACAAGGAAAAGGAGATATTAAATACAATTAAAATAAGAAAATTGCAGTATCTGGGTCATGTCATGAGAGGTGAGAGATATGAGTTGCTGCAGATCATTATACAGGGAAAGATACTGGGCAGAAGAAGCATAGGCCGACGACGTGTATCCTGGCTAAACAATTTGAGGCAGTGGTACAATTGTAACTCTGTTGAGCTGTTTAGAGCAGCAGTGTCAAAGGTGAAGATAGCCGTGATGATAGCCAACCTTCTTAAAGGAGACGGCACTTAAAGAAGAAGAAGTTAATAGTGCAGGTAAAGTTTTAAGTCAGGTTTGAAAGATTGGTCATTGAGAGCAGACACGGTGTGTTTAGTCAGAAAAAAACGGCAAATTTGTTGAAACAAAGTTATTTATACTCAATATTATGTGTCAGTTCAAATAAAAGTAATCACTGTTTTTGTTTTATGTCGTCTCTCACCTTAGAGATTTTTAAAGGAAAAATAAACATTTTCTAATAATAATTGCTTTCATACCAATTTTTCTTCTTCTTCTGGTTCCTATCCGTGTCGGACGTTGGAAATCATATTGGCAATGATAACCTTGCTCGCTGCGGCTCGAAACAGCTCTGTTGAGGTTTTCTTAAACTATGTTCTTAAATTCCGCAGCCATGATATTCTCCTTCTACCGGGTCCGCGCTTACCTTTGACTTTACCTTGCAATATAGACTGTAGCAGGGAGTAACGATGCTGATTTCTCATAACGTGTCCCAGATATTGCAATTTTATGCGTTTGATCGTAAACACAATCTCTGGTTCCTTCTTCATTTTTCCTAGAACTTCCTTGTTCGTGATCCTTGTTGTCCATGATAGTCTCAGCATTCTTCTATAAAGCCACATCTCAAATGCTTCAAGTTTTTTTAATAGTGGTGTCTGTAAGCGTCCATGCCTCCGCCCCGTACAACAACACAGAGAAAACATAGCATCTCAAATGTCTCATTTTTGTATCAAGGGATGGCGTGTTGTGACTTTTGAAGATGGCGCTAATTTTGTTAAAGACCGTTCTTGCCTTTCCTATGCGGCACTTTATTTCCTGTAAATTGCTCCACTGTTCGTTAATAATAGTTCCCAGGTAACAATACTATTTTACTCGCTCCCTTTGCATCCCATTAATATATAGGTGAGCCTCATTTATATTCTTCTTGCTGATAATCATTTGTTCCATTTTGTGTGTATTAATGTTTAGTCCGTACTGTTGACTGTACTTGTTTATTCTGTCCATTAGCCTTTGAAGTCCCTCTATACTATCTGCTATCACCATGGTGTCGTCGGCATATCTAACATTGTTTACTCTTTCACCATTTAGAAGGATGCCTTCGTCTTCTTCCATATCTTCCATACCAATTTAGGAAATTGTAATAATTAAAATTATAAATCTTAGGGTGTAGCTTAGCTGTCATTTTAATTGTTCTCTGTTTTAAAATTTAATATTGACTGCTGACAGCTAGCTTTATTTTTTTTGACATTCGGTGAATACCTAATCATAGTTGAGATTTTGTTTTTGTTTTTTTTTTAAAGGTTAACCTCTATGTATAGTTTCACTTAAACAGATATTTTTTCATTTGTAATAATTTATTTCTGCTACAAATTTTCGCCCATTATTATTGTAAGTTTTGTAGTATCTTCAACTTCAAGAGTTTTAAAACTGATAGGACAGTAAGTTTTTTCTTTCTTATTTTGGTAAGTATTTATTTTTGTTACTATTTAGTTAATATTTTTGTATTATCTATATTTGTAACTGCTTGTAGTGAGATAACAATAAATGTTTAATGGTTTTTCAATAAATCAAGTTGTTATTTCTCTTAACTAACTCTCTAACCTCTTTTGTGTTTTAAGGAAGAGCATTTTCTTTCATCTGAGAGGAAGATTCCTCAAAGCGGCGTTCTTATTTTAAATAGCTTGAGAACCTTCTTGTATTGATTTTGTTCAGGAGATTTATGAAAGTACCCCATTTGTGTAATTTTTGTAGTTACACCAATCCAACCCGCTTGTCATTTACTTATTCACGACCCAGATCTCCAAATAAACCCTGAGTGGCCATTTCTAGATATTTTGGTTTGTTTTGCTTACCCTATCTCCACCCCAATAATTTCTGTCCCCAATTTTTATCCCCTATAATAATACCCTATATGGTAGGCAAAATATTCGGTACAAACGCATACCACAAATAGATCACCTGAGAAAGGCACTCTGTCGAAACAGATGTAGTGATATCTAATAAATTATATTACATTTTGTAAAAGTGTTGAAAATAAAAGTTTTTAGTGTTTTATTGTTAGACTAATGTTAGACTAGTGTTAAAATCTAATAAAAAGGTTCCACAGGAAATACTTGTTTAGAGCAATAATAAAGATATTTATTTCTTTATGTATCAAAGATCATATTCAAAAGAACTCTTTCAAAGTTAGAGGATGTTCTTGAGCTTTTGCTAGAATTGCAGCATATTGAGTTAAAACCACAAATACTTTATTTTGTTGCTATGATTTGAATTATGTCTAATTTAATTTCGATAACCATTTTGATGATTTGAATTTTTATGTTAATATGGTAGCTGCTAGTTTAAGACTTATAAGATTCACCTTATAATCCAAGCCAAATCAGTGTAGCGAAATACACTGATATGGTAATAAAATTATTTTTTAATCAATCATTGCGAGAGTATTAAATATGAGTTTGACGCTATAGCGTTAGTAGAGTGTTTTCTCTAGTCATCTAGAACTTTTTAGGGAGAAAAAATTAAAACTAAGCCATAAAAAATGTCGAGAGGTATGTAGTTTAATGCTTTTAAATGAAAGATTTGGGCTAATTCTTTATTCATATTTTGTGAATATTCTTGATGTCCTAGACATTTTCTATATTATGTTCTTTTTGAGCGCATCAAATTACATACGAATTAGTTGAAATTGTTCAAACCGCTTTTTGGTTGCAAATTTGTGTAATTTGATCTTTATGAATTACCGTACTTCGGAAGGCACGTTAAGCTCTCTGTCGCCCTCGGCTAGTGTTCATCGACACCATTAGTTTACAGGGGTAAAAATACAATCAGTACCAGAAAATTAGAGCGGGTCTTCAGGGCAAAAATGCCATACAAAATTATTATTTTAAGCTATAAATGTTTATATGAGATTAAGGAACAATTGGTATTAAATTTAGACACGCTAACATAATATTTAAATATTTAACTTGGACATGCCACAGAAAACAGTTTAAGAACATTAATATTATATAGGCACCACATATTTATATTTTTTGCTGTTTAAACTTCACCCATAGATTATTTTTAATATAGCTTGCGTCTTATTATATTTACTTACATCCAGTTTATGTTTAAAAGACAAGGTAAACAAGGCAAATTTCAAAAGAAAGAAAACAGGTGTGGCAGTCCAGTAGGACTGCAAAAAATTTTTTTACATATACTCTGCGGTAAAATTTATTGTTTATTTTGTTATTAATACAAAAATACAATACAATACACTGCAACATAATTCAATATAATAATACAAAACATATTACAATGCAATATTTATAAGTATTTAACAATGACAATATACATAACTTACTTCCGCATATGTTTAATTTACATAGAATGGAAAAATAATAATAATATTTATAAATATTAAATATATTTATAAAAGGAACTTTTTTATTCTCGAGAGAGAAAATATATCTTCTGTCTCCCTCTTACCTATATATTACATATGTAATGATTTTGCCGATTCACTCCCGCACAAATTTCCAACGTCGAACGCGCGTATAAAAGTATAACTTTAAAAATGCTTTTAAAAGTTGTACTTTCTACCTTTAAAATGCATTTTGATTTTTGTCGATAGGAGGCTCTGATCAAAAGATATCAAATTTTTACCGTCAAATTGGTACAAATTTTATTAAAAATTTATTTCGCGCTCGTAATTGACATTCAAAATTACCGATCGCTTTAAGCGTTGTTTCTGAGAAAACAGTTCATTCTACACAAAAAGCTCTAATAAACATTTTTATTCAAAATTATCTCATTCAGCTACATTTTTTATTTGACATATTTTTTTCTACGCCGTACAGATTCTTAAATATACGCAAATCGATTTTTTCCGTTTTCGCCCCTACGTGGTGGCGTTTAGGAGGAAGCTCGTAAGTAGAAGTGCTAACCTTTTTTGCATCTGTTTTTTGAGTCAGAAAATTGACATTCTTAGCCAAATTCAGCTTGTTTATATGACTTTTAAAGGTCAAATCTCTGACTACTGGACTTCTCACCTTCGTTCTAATTTTGCACTCGACATTTGCAATTAAATTTTTTTTTATTTTTTATGATTTTTACGGTAATATGTGGTTTGCTGTTATATGGGCACAGTTAGTTATAATTTAACAATTTTAAATTTCGTATATCAATAAAATCGTAAAATAATAATTTAAATTCCGATATGATTTGATTCTATAAAATTAGAATTAAAGTGCAAATCTACAATCCAATCAAAACGATTAGCGCACAGTTAATAAAATTATAACCAACAAATTGAAATATGAGAGTAAACGATAATCAACGTTATGTTAATTGCTTAAATTCACATTTTTATTTTACTTAGCTGCGTACAACGACTTAACTGTTTAACTGTTGGAATTAAGCTCTCTCCAATACAAATATTAAAAATTACAGCAACTATTTTTCCATTATTTTCTCATTTTTTTTTCTTTTTGTGAGACTCCTTTCAATATGCCTCCATCGTTCAATTCTATTCTTCTCTTTTTTACACAATCCTTGATGTTCTTTACCTTGCATCTTTGTCGTACATCTGTACTTCTATCTCTGTCCGATTTTACCATCGATGTTTCTAAAAGTTTTTATCTATCTATATGCTGCTTCTAACATTTTTTTGCTCTCTTCTGATCAGGTCGTGTTTCTGTCGCTTATATTATTATTGATCAGATGACTGTATTATAAATTCGGCCTTTCATTTCTTTCCAAAAATGTTTATTTCTAAGGTTGCTCTATTCTATGGAAGTTAAATAATACAGAACTCAAGTAATACTCTTGTAATATCTTATTACCAGCATCAACTGGATCGCTTAGTTCTTCTATTTGTACTTTGAATAAGTTATTCTGTTGGGTATTTTCGATCATTTTAATTATTTCTAGTTAACAATGATAAATGATAACTTAATTTAATTTGACGTTCTGTTAAATGCCTTCTTTAGGCACTGGTAGATATGCCAGTTTTTTGTATTCTAATAATTTCTCTTGCACGTCCCTGATTATAAATATAGCGTGGTGCATGATCTTCACGACCTAAAACCTTATTGTTCTTCTGATAGTGTTTTTTATTTCATTTTGTTTAATTTTTATTACTTTGGTTGCTAATTTTAGTCTTTTGTTTAATAAATAAATTCCACTGCAATCTTGTGTTAGTCTGTTTTGTTCTATTATTCTTTGGATTAGCTTTAATAGTTGTTCAGTCAGATCTTGTACTGCATACTTTAGAAGTTCTTTCGCTATTTTGTTCTCTTCTGGTGATTATTTATTTTTTAATTTCCTTAATGCTTCCTTTACCTCTCCCTCATCAATGTTTATTTCTTCGTTTGTCGTTACTTTTGGTGTTGGTGGTTACTTAACGTCACCTTAAGCAAATAGGGATCGAAAGTAGTTCATTTCTTCTTCTGAATGTGTTTTGTTTTTGTTAGTTCGTTTATTTCTTTTCTTGGTCTTCTGATGATTTTTAATATTTCTTTTTATATTCCGTAGAAGTCGTGTTCTATCTGTTTTGATAAGCTTTTTATTGGTCTGACTAAATTATCTGTGTCCTTTCTAATTATTTTATATGGTTCTATAGCTGTTGTGTTTGTTGTGGTTTGTATTAAAACAATTTTTACATTTTTTCTTTACTTCACCATAAGTTTTCTTGTTTAATATGTTATTTGCCTCTTTCCAATTAACTCTATTGATGTGATAATTATTTATTTAGTATTTAGTTATTTTTAAGTTTTCCCAGCTTTCCTCTATGTTATCATTTCCCAATGTTTCATTCTCAGTAATCTTCTCTGATAAAAAATTTCTCATTCTCATAACAAATAATGAAGAAAAATCTTTAGGAACAGTAACAAAACGGTAAATTTTTAATGTTGACTAATATTTCATAAAAATCAAAAAAACTTAGAAAGATAGGAAATAAATTTATTATTTATTTTATCTAAAACTAAACCTACCAATGAATAAGAAAGAACAAATAATTGCATTTAAAATACCTTGTGAATGCGATCATTTTTATTTTTGTGGAACATTAAGACCAATAAGTCTTGTCCTTGTCTTGACAATAATATTATCCTTGTTAGTCAAAGATTCCGCAACTCTATACTCTCAGCTAAAACCTACCCAGGAGCAGATATAGGCTCGGATCACAATCCTGTAGAAGTCACATTAAGAATAAAACTAAAGATCATTAAAAAACACATACAGAAACAAATTGACGTGAGAAGACTGAATGAACAACATATAAAAGAGAAAACAATAGTGAACATAGACCAAAAATGGGAGAATATTAAACATGCCGTAATGTTGGCAGGGAGAGAAAATTTAACACCGAAAGAAAGGAAACATAAAGAATGGATGAAAGAGGAAATACTACAGTTGATGCGTGAAAGAAGGGTACACAAAACAAATAATCCGATAAGATACAAAGAAACAGATAAACTGATAAAAAAGAAAATAAGAGAAGCTAGAGAAAGATGGCTAAGTGAGCAATGCCAGGAGTTGGAACAATTGGAGCCAAAATATGACTTTTTTAATGTACACAAAAAGATTAAAGAAATTACGAGAAGGAGAAGAACAACACAGACAGGACAGATCAAAGATACAAATGGTATAATTATAACAGATTTACAACAAAAAATGAACCGATGGACAGAATACATATCACAACTGTTTGATGACAAAGATAGACAAGAAATATCAAACGAATATACAGATGATACAGGGCCTGATATAATCAGAGAAGAAATAGAATATGCAATCAAATAAGCAAAAAGTGGTAAGGCCCCCGATCCTGATGAAATTCCCGTAGAACTGCTCAAACTTATGGACGATGAATCTATTAAAATACTCCTAGATCTATTTAACACAATATATTATAGAACTGGGATAATACCTAGGGAATGGCTCCGTTCGACCTTTATACTACTGCCAAAAAAGGCAAATACAAAGGAATGCAACGAATATCGTACGATAGCTTTGATGAGTCATGCTCTAAAACTGTTCTTAAAAATAATCCATAATAGGATCTAGGATAGGAATCAGGAAATTAGACGTAGACATCAGTAACACTCAGATGGGATTCAGAAAAGGGCTGGGTACAAGGGAGGCTCGGTTTGCAGTTACCGTTCTCTCACAGAGATGCTTAGACATGAACCAAGAAATTTACGCCTGCTTTATTGATTTCGAAAAGGCCTTTGACAAAGTACAACATGAACCACTAAGACAAATTCTAATAAAGAAAAATATAGACAGCCGAGATATTCGAATTATATGCAATCTATATTGGAATCAAACATCAAATGTCAAGGTTGAGGGCAGACTAACAGAAGAAATTCAAATCCGTCGAGGAGTCCGGCAGGGATGTATCTTATCGCCACTTTTATTTAATCTGTATAGTGAAGCTATCTGCGAACAAGCACTCGAGGAAGAAGATCTTGGTCTGATAATAAATGGTGAGACGATCAACAATATAAGGTATGCTGACGATACAGTTCTCCTAACGGTAACGCTAGTAAAACTACAACATCTAGTTTAAAGTCGCAATATATACTTTAACAGTTACGGCTTGAAAATTAATTTGAAAAAAACTAAATTTATGGTAATCACGAAATCAAAAAACATCAGAGCAAATCTTATAATAGACAATACAACGATTGAGCGTGTGCCCTGTAATAAATATCTAGGTGCTTGGGAAATCGCTAGATCAGTCTTTAATAGAATGCGCAAACTCTTGTGCAATCGTGATATCAATATAAAGTTACGAATACGAATGCTGCGGTGTTATGTCTTTCCTACCCTGTTATATGGACACTTGAACACTAAAACAGTTGACCATAAAAATCATCGAAGCTTTCGAGATGTGGTGCTATAGGCGCATTCTGAGAATATCATGAATGGACCGCGTCACTAACACGCAAGTACTCCAAACTTTAGACAAAAGATCCGAAATTCTAAATGAGATGAAAATTAGAAAGATGGAATACTTGGGGCACATTGTGAGAAGTAAAAAGTACGAACTTTTAAGAAACATCATGCAGGGCAAAATTAAGGGCAAAAGAAGTGTGGGAAGAAGAAAAATATCGTGGTTTCCTAATCTACGTGAATGGTTCGGCTGTAGTTCGATAAAACTTTTTAGGCGCGCTGCTAACAAAGTCGCAGTGGCCATGATGATTTCCAATCTCCGCTAGGAGTGGCACAAGAAGAAGAAGAAGACCAATAAAACTTAGCATAAGTGAACATTAATCTTATATTAAAAATAGAGAACTTGATAGTCTCAAATACGTAAAGACGGGAAAATGAACATAGGATTCAATGGAGTGATTTGATTATAACCCTAAAAGAAACAAATAGTAAAAAAAATCAAAGAAGCAGCGATAATTATGCTAAATGAGACCAATTTCGTCACAAATTATTCGACAAAATGCAGTAGGATTTGATTACCCATGTAATCATATTGTTCTAATTAGTAATTAATCAGATCAGTTAATAAAAGACAAATACCCAACATGTCTGGATAGTATTATGAGATTTTTTCCCGGTTTTTTTCTCATAATTTACTATGGAATCACTAACAGGAGAATCTTACTGTCATCATTGCGTGTTGTTTTCTTTTTCATGGCGAATCATCTGCTATGATTTTTTCTGGCGGATATTCTCAAGTTAATGTTGATTTCATGAGAACGGAATACAATAAAAACGTCCCAGCAATGTTTGCAATATCATTTTAAAGTCGTCTACTTTAAAATGTATAATATATATCTGAATTGTCAATATAAACGAGTCAAATAAAATTCAATTATTAGAAGAATTTTTAACCAAGTAAGAAAAAACAAAATTTGTTTAATTTATTAATGTTTGTATTTAGAGAACGTTTTCTGACTTCGAAATTGAAGCGCAATAAACTTATTTTAAACTTAAATTGGTATATAATATGGTAGTTAAAAACATCAATTTTTAGATCCTGCTCAATCCGGATTCAGACCATTTCGCAGCACTATTGACAATCTAGTAGTGTTAAAAATAGATCACAACCGCATTACACAACAAGCAAGATTAAATATCGAAGTTATTTGATATGGAAAGCGTTTTCGACACTTTATTACATCCTACTGTATTCAACAAATTAAAAGAATACGATGTTGGGAAAAATAGGTTATCCTTTATCGAACAATTTCTCTCTCACCGCCGCTTCAAAGTGTAAGTTAATGGAAAAGCTTTCTCAACCCACGTTCCGGAATAGCTTACTCCAAGAATCAGTTCTAAAATCCAGTTTATTCATATTAATTATCAACGATATTTGCAAGAATATTAACACCCCTTCTATATGTAGCTAATTGCAGCCCTAAAAGTACGTTCACAGCTTAAAACGTGATCCAAAAGGCACTAAATAAACTAACTTCGTGATCTAATAGTTTTTATTATTAAGTTATCTGCTGAAAAATCAAATTTAGTCAAAGAACATGAAGCATTCTAGTAAATCATATTAAACTAAATGGAATTCCGCTACAATTGCTAGTCAAGAAAGGATAATAGGCTTAATTTTTGATAGTCGATTCACATGAAAATCACAAATCATAAATGCCAAAGCCAATCACTCAACTAGATTTAACCTTCTAAAATTTCTAGCAAATCATCACTGCGTAAGTTATAAAGATCACTTATTTGTTCCCGACTAGACTATGAAAGCTTTATATACATACCAATATTAAATCCTTCTCTAAGAACTACTGACCTTATTCGAAATAGAGCCTATGCCTCGGAGCCTTCAGATCTACTTCTGCCAAAAGCTTACGATGTGAAACAGGTTCACTTCCGCTCTCGCTTCGCAGAAAATAACTGCTTCTGACCTACTTTGCTTTACCCTAGAATTGTGAACTTAATAACCAAATAAATTGCTTTTTACCATTCACAAAAATAAGCTATAAGCTATAAGCTATAAGCTATTCTACAAGAAATAAACTGTTTATCTAACGAAACTGAAACTAAAGCCAAAAATACTGCAATATGTAGAAACTCAATTTCATCCACAAACTTGATTAACTATATATTCCGAACATCAATTTGTTCATGACATACATAAAGCAACAAACCATCTTAATTCTTCTGGAACAATCATAGCATCAATCTGGACTTCTTCTCACGTCGACATTTTAGATAGCTGAACTGCTGACAATGCTGCAAAGAAAGTAATTACCAGCACTCAGACATTAAAATCGTTCAATTAGCAATAATCAAGCATTATACATAAAACTACTCTTTAGGTTTCAAATAAAAAAGCCCTGGCAAAGTCCTGGTAAAATTGATCTTGAAACTACATAATATACAACCTTCTTTCGAAACCTTTCAGCTATCTAACTTAAGTATGACAATAAACTTCATGTCTTTGAAGAAATCACCTCGCTGTGAAAAGTGTAATGAACCATTAACAGTTTAAGATATTCTTATTATCAACATACCTTTCTGGCTGATAAAGAGATAGTAGGAAAACGTAAAAGGTAGATGCATCTGTCCTAGATTGAAAACTATCTGAAAAGTATATTACCCAACACATAATATATTGCTTCTGGCACTTAATTTTTCTTAAACTAATTGTAGTTTATATTTAAATGTATCTATTCTTAAATTTAATACCTTATTTCTATTGTGGTCTTCAGAGAAACAACTTATTACCCCACTAAAAGAAGCAAGGCGATTTATGATTGACTGTTTTAAAGCAGTTGGATCTAATCAAGCCCATGCTGAAATAGTATCAGATAACTTGCTGGAAGCCGACTACAGAGGACACTATACCCATGGAATGAATAGATTAGGTAAATATGTTTGGTATATAATGTACTACTAAATATGGGTTTATCTAGGATATAACAGATTTCATTTTATATATGATAGGTATGTGGCAGATATATGAATATGTATTGAAAAATTAATACGATTATGTATTAGCCTATTAGAGTAGTAAACAAATTTTAAATTGTAAGTATTTTGTGATTTAACTTACTCTTCTCTTGATTAAACACTTTTAATACAGGTAATCTGCAACGGCTCTAAACATTTCAAAAAAATGATCTTGCTCAACAAACCAGGCTTCCATAGTTTTTATCACCTCTTCATTGGAAAAGTACGTACCAACTTTTATCACTTTTTTTGCAGTTGAGGACATATACCTAAATCAAATGGAGCCAGATATGATGTTCACATAATTCGAAACCAAAATCGTGAATTGTTTAAAGCGAAACATGCCTTTTGTGTGCAGCGGCATTGTCCTACAAAACCAAAATACCTTTGGTCAAGTTTCTGCGTCTTTTTTCATATTTTTGATCAATAACATCAAATATTAATTCCTAGTTATCTTTCTACCTATTTCTTGTAGAAAAGAAACGCAGATGGTCCGTACCACAGGTAGTGTGGGATTCTCTAGCCTACCGTCTTCTTTAAGTGCCGTCTCCCAATCGGTGCGGTGGTTGGATATCATCATCACTAACTTTACTTTATCTACTGTTGCTCTGAAGAGTTCTATAGAACTGCATTTAAACCAGTCCCTTAAATTCTTCAACCATGACACTCTTATTCTTCCTATACTCCTTCTTCCTGTTATCTTTCCTTGTAGTATCAGCCTTAGCAGTTTATATCGCTGTCCCCTCATTACGTGTCCCAGATATTGTAACTTTTTTATTTTTATTGGTTTTTATTATTTCGCATTCGCATTTCGCATTTAGTTCTCTTCTGTGTCCATGCTATACTAAGCATCCTCCTGTAACACTACATTTCAAAGAACTGTACCTTATTGATGTGTTCTTATTTCGGTTGTTTGATCATTATTGTCTGAAATTCAGGTTCATAGGTATTTTGAAACCTCAATACTCCGGGAGTATTGGATTTTAGGAAGTGTACAACTTCCAAATTTCCGAAGAACTGGAAGAGAGGTGATGAAAATACTAAAAATATGGCTAAGCTCAGAGGAACAAAGTTAAATGGCCAAAGAGACACTAAATCTCAAGTGAGTGTTCGGGCTAGCTTCAATGCACTGAATTGTGGCTTTAAAGATATAAAGCAGATAGCAAGGATAATGAGCTAATGAGACAAGAAACGAAATGAGACCTGTTAATATCAAATAACTGGAGATAATAACCTGAAATATAAAATACTAAATACTGTCTTGCTATATTATATACTGGTTAGTAGAAACTGAAATAAAACTCAAAATAGTAACAATAAATATATTTATAAAAATGTATATATATATATATATATATATATATATATATATATATATATATATATATATATAGATATATATGTATTAACAATTTACATATAATGCAAAAACTAAATAACAGTGGTAGTGGGTGGTGTAAAGATACAATAGGACCTAATAGCCCCTCAACAAGCGAATAGTCACTACCACTGGCCAAATAAAGTATGAAATATTAGTAAAAACCTAGATAGAATAGTCCGTATGATAGCCAAAGTCTTAACACTAAAAGTTAGTAATTTAATTTAACTTAGTTCTACTAGAATGAGATACAAGTGACAGTAAGGTAAAGATATCATAATTGATAAATCTAGTACCATTTATATCATAGATAAAAAGTGAGTTGTTATCCTTATATAATGTTTTAAAAACCACATGAAATTTATTTCCCTCCCCAATATCAAAATTGTATTATATCAAAATGTATTGTATTAAAAAATATATATCAAAAAGTGAGTTTGGTCAGACTCTTTATATACTATTTAAAAAAAACCTAATAAAAACATGAAATGTATTTTCCCTCTCCAATATTTTAGAATTATATTATATCAAAAATGTATTCACCTGATCATATGCATATGAAAAGTGTATACTACTAAATAGAAAGTAACAAAAAGGTTAGAAAGTAACAAGAAAGTTAGTATTTATGAACCCTTTCTATCGGTACATTTCCCAAATGTATGTTTGTTGGTGTATTTGTTTTCTTTGTTATTATCATGTATTTGGTGTTTTTTATATTCATATTTTTCACAGAAATTGTTTGTTTTGTTTAGCAGTAATTGGAGTTGTTCAGCAGAGCTTGCCATAATCACGGTGTCATCTGCATATCTTGTTGTTAATAGATATTCCGTTAATTATTATTCCTTCACTTTGAGATAGCAATGCTTCTTCAAAAATGGCTTCACTATATTCATTAAATAGTAATAGGGACATAACGCATGGACTGGGTTCGTTATCTATTACGATTTGTGCTCTTTGATTCCAGTAGAGGTTTGTTTTTATTCGTAATTCGGTATGGTCTATGTTTTTTGTCTTTAGAATTTGGACTATTTTTTTATGTCTTACTTTGTCAAATGCTTTTTTAAAATTAACGTAAGAAACATGCACATCAACATTCGTATCTATGCATCTTTGAGCTAACACATTAAAAGCAAATAACGCTTCTCTGGTTCCTAGTCCGTTTCTGAACCCAAACTGACTATCATCTATTCCTTCTTCCAGTTTTTTATTTATATGACCATGTATTATTTTCAGGAATAATTTGAGAATGTGACTTATTAGTGATATTGTTCTGTATTCACTGCAATATTTAGCGTTTGTATTTTTAGGGATAGCACAAAAGATAAAGAGTGACCATTGTTTCGGTATGTGTCCTGTTTTGTATACTGAGTTAAATAAGTCTACTATAATGTCTAAGGTTTCATCATTCATGCACTTTAAGATTTCTATAGGGAGTTGCTCTGGACCTAATGCTTTACCATTTTTGCTGTTTTTTAATGTCATTTTAATTTATTCTTTTAATATGTTTAAAACCATATCCTCTTCTACTTTTATCTCCATCTATTCTGTTCTATCGTCTTTGAACAGTTCATTGATGTATTCTGTCCATCTCTTTAATTTATCGTTAGTATTCAATACATCTTTCAGTATTTCCGGTTTTCTTATTCTATTGTTGTGAGTTAATTATTTAATTTTTTTATGTGTGTTAAAACTATCATGTCTTTTCTGGTATTCTTCTATTTCTGCGCATTGTACTTTTAACCATTGTTCTTTCGCTTTCTTAATTCTGTATTTTATTTGTTTATCCACTTTTTTGTACGTCTTATTACGTTTGTTCTTATATTGACGTCTTTCTTCAAATCTAAAATTTCTTCCGTCATCCATTGCTTCTTTTTATGTCTGGTTGGTATTAGAATTTCTTTTTGACTTTTATCTATTTTTGTTTTTATTAATAACCATCTTTTCTCCGTCTCAGTATTTTTCAGAATTTGTTCTTTAACATTCATTAATCCGTTGTTGATTTCATCTGCCAGGCGTTATCTTATGAGTGGGTTCCTTAATTTACTTGTATCGATTTTTGCATTTGTTGTTCTTCGTTTTATTATTTTCATTTTGAGCCTATTTATATTGTCCGGAGTTAGTTTCTCTTCGAAGAACAGATTGACCTACTGGCCGCTATTTGTACCATTTCTCGCAGACAAATACTGTATGATCTACAGTGTTAAATTCATTGTAATACACATAGGGGTCACATTAGAGGAACATACATTATATTCTTTCCAAAACGCTAGCGTACCTCTGCTATTTCACGAGACTCATCTGCGTACCGTCTTCTTTAAGAGTTCTAGATTGTTGTACACTGTCCTGTTAAATATTAATGGTCTCTCTTCAGCCAGTAATTATATGCTAATTAAACTTTGACAGTATACAAGGCAACTATCGAACAGTGGTTAATTTAATCTTGCCCAAGTAATTTAATTATTCGAACATTCAACCTTATATTGATTTATATGTTAATTGTTTCGGTGATAACTTTCAGTATAGCCGTTAAGACCGTACGGTAAGCCGATCCCATTCTCAATAGATCTTTTCGTTTTGTCCTCTTAATCATCTGTCTATATTTTTCTTTCTTAGCTTCAGTTAAGAAGATTCATAGTCAGTCACAAGAGCGTCACCAGATAACTAGCAGTTTTGGATTGCTTGGTGTTTTGATCATAAGATAGGTTATTTCATGACCCTTATTATTAAACCCGAATTGTAGTAAATTTGACGTAAAAAAGGATTGATTTATTTTGCATATAGTCTATTTTATAAATTTGTTTTATTTTTTTCATGTTCAAATAATGACAATGTACAAATAATGAGTTATTTATAATATTTATTTTAGAAAAGTACATTAAATATTTACAACACGGACTTGTAAATCCCAATGCCGTACCTACAATAGATAAAGAAACTGAGGCTACTGCTGTAGTCAACGGTAATAATGGCTTTGGAGCTGTTGTTGGACAATATTGTATGAACTTGGCTATGGAAAAGGCTAAAAACACTGGAATAGGATTAGTTGTGTGTCATCGTAAGTAAAAGAATATTTTCTAAATGTAGCACCAATTAAAAAAAAGTTTGAATTTTAAGTTCTACTTTTTAAATCTCAGTAGGCAGTATACCATTTATAAAAAAACTAATCTGGGAAAGAGTTGAGATAATAGATTTATTGTAATTTTGGTTTACTCTTTCGAAAAAAAAATAATAGTAATTAATATTTTAATAAGTTCTTTTTCTTTTAAAATCAGATGCGATGACATTACTTATCTCTGATATTTGATCGTGGAACTTTGTATCAAAGCCTCTACTTTCTTTTAACTCCAACCTGAAAAATACTGCCCCGCTAGCAACGTTCTTATGCCCATTTTAAGGATTTATGATTGTTTAATAATAATTCTTTTACCATTGTATATCTGACCCATAATACTTTTCATTTACCAATGCCATGTGCCAGTTTTTTTTTTATATTTTACATTTCCTACAGAGTGCACCTTGGTTAAGCTCACTTTACCTATGTTATAGATGTATTTCCTTTCACAGATTTTAGTCACTATCTGTGTAACTACATTCAGTCAGCTTTCATCGGTTAAGATTCATTAAACTAGTCAAGAGCCTCCTCTCAATGCTATTTATTATTTTCTTCATTTAAGTTTGCTATTATACCGTTCATGATGTAGTGGAATATCTCTGAGCCTTCGAAGAGTGTGTTAAAGCATTCGTTTGATATAGTCTGCTAGTTTGTTTCTCTGGACGCCTTTATTTTTAAGCACTTGAGCGAAGATGCAGATTCTTACAGATCCTTATACCTTGTCCTGATGCCTTTGTTTCACGCACCAGTCAAATGTCGCTGGTTTTTTCCCTTGGGAAACAAGTTATGTCCTTAAGAGAATAGGTTTACTTTGTATACTTTTTTGAAGGACCACTTAAAAAAGTGGGACAAATGAAAGTTTCGCAAAGACCGTTTTAAAAAATATATTTTAAACAATTACCACAACGTATTTTGGACGCCGATAACTTATTTACCATAGCTGATTTATAAAATTTAGTTTAAATTTATGTGCAAAAAACTAGATAACTTGTGGGTGATAGGATATTGACACGAACTGAATAAAATCATTAATATACCAATTGTGTTAAACCTTCTAAGTTGGGGCTAGCGCGAACAAGAGCCTAGCGTTCATCCAATGCTGGATTCGAACTGATGTCAATTCGCCCCCTTGAATCACTCCGCTCATAACGGTTCCTTAAAATTGAGCAAAACGCCCTTCTGATCCTCGACGTATATAAAGGATATGTTTACATTTAAATTACCTTCAACCTTCCTTTCATTGGTAAAACTACATGAGAAAGGTATTTTTCAACTTCCTTACTGTTTCGTAATTTTCGGTATTTTTCGAATGACTAAAGGCGATAATTTGGAAATTACTAATCTTTTCATTGTTATATTTATTTGACGATTTTAAAAGCTTATGTCCAGAAAGCTATTCCTTAAGTAGGCAAATTTTAACAACAAATTATTAGTATTTATTAATATTTTTAGTTTATTTGCCACCAATTCAAAAACTCTTTGAACAAACTTACAAATAAGATGAGTTACGTTGGGCGCCAATTTGTAACAACATCACAATAAATGTGTAACAGTGGAGTCACTAGTTGGACGCAAATTGTTTAGGCTTCGACTAGCTCTGTCTTTTAGGTGTAAATATGGCTAATCTTAAATAAAAATCATAAAAAAATGAGTTCGAAAGAGACAAAAAAAAAGATTATTATACCTAAAGCTGTATAAAAAATATACTTATGGCAATTATTGTTCATGTCATTTCTGGGTGTTGCTGAAATTGCAGCTGAATGTAATATTAACTGCAGTTGAAGTTGAATGTTTGATGTAAGTTAAATGTATGGATGTAAGCTGAAGTAGTTTCACGTGGGTGTTGAGCTCTCCATAGTAGCAGCCATGTTACTGTGCCCCCTGTGTGGTGCATCACACTGTTTTAAAGTCACCAAAAAAGCAAACAAAAAAGATTTCAGTTAGAGCTAAAATCCCAAGATAGATTTTAACAATATAAAAAGAATTTGTAAATAAAAAAACCTACTTGAAATACATGAAAGATCTTAAAAAAACATTCCCACTTCTGTATTAAAGTAAAACTAATAAAACTAAAGCCGATCTGCTGCTTGAACTCAAATAAATATTCGGGTTCTGATACCCGTACATTAACCAGATTTTTTCATGTGTTTTCTGTAGTATTTTAAGTTTGTAATAGAACCCGCTTGATAGAAAAATTTTCTGTAATTTTGTACCAAATGAGATCTCTCCTGGTAGTCATACATCTTCTTTAAATACTTAACTATAGCTCTGAAGATGGCTTTGAAGCCGAAAGTGCTCAGCTAGGAATTAAAACCTTCAAAACCTTCAAAACCTTCATAAACACACTTCAAAAATACTTTCTTTTTTTCCATTCTTTGATTTGTCATAAGTGTGTACAAAAACATATCAGTCTTCTCATTTATTATTTTTATTTTTGTTAAAAACACTGTTTTATTTAGATTCAAATCATTATGGAATGGCGGCAATGTATGCTCTGCAAGCCATTAAAGAAGGATTCATTGGATTTAGCACAACCAACTCTCCATGTCTGATGGTACCCACTAGAGCAAAAAAGGTATAAACATAAAGAAAAATAAATTTTAGTTCTCCAACTATTTAACCTATTATTGACTTTAAATATTCTTTTAGTCGGCTTTGGGATCAAATCCAATAGGATTTGGAGTTCCTGCGAATGATGGGGATAGCTTTGTTTTGGATATGTCAACGACCAATTGTGCTTTAGGAAAGGTAGGAGCAAACCTAATTTCTATAGATAGACATAGTAGTGTAATATATCTTCAAAGTAATCTGATAATCTATATATAAGGTCTAATCATAAACCATAGTCAAGTTTTTTTTACTGAGAGGATTTACCAAGAGCAATAATCAAGAGTAATAACCAAAAATACCAGTTGAATATTTTATTGGTCTACTATTGTTTGGGAAAGTGTTAAGTATTGATATACATACTTAATCATTGCTAAAGCTATACATGAGACAATTAATTGAAAGTCTAGAAAAACTTTTAAATAAATTTGTTCTTCCAATTCAAAGTACGTGGATGACGGTACCAAATGTCAAGCTTCAAAAAGGAAGACATATTTTAGCTCGGATATTCTCAAAGCACTTTAAAAAAGTAGTGATACATTCTTCTTCTTATTGCGCCGTCTTCTTTCGAAGGTTTAGAAACGCTGCACGAAAGATTTCTGTGGATGAGCGATCAAATCGCTCATCCACATCATACATAGATATATCGACATTTTTTCCTTAAGAGGTTAATAACTGGTGCTTTTACCCTATATTACTTAGTTGAGGTCCCCAAAACTGTTTAAATTGACATTATAGAAACAGTGTTAAGCAAAATAAAATTAACAAATTTATTTATGTTATTTTTTGTGTGTAATAGTTTGTTTAAATGTTTATTTTAGATTGAAATGCAAATAAGAAAGGGGGAACCACTTCCACCAGGATGGGCTTTAGATAAAGAAGGCAAAGTTCAAACAGATGCCAATATCGCCTTTCAGGATAAATTATTGCTTCCTCTTGGAGGAGAAGAAATAACTGCTGGATATAAAGGATATGGTTTGGCTGTATTCGTGGATGTATTATCTGGAATTTTATCAGGTCATATTTGAAAAGAAAAATACTTACTTACAATTAATGTAATTGACTATATCCCGTCAATCATAAATCATAGTTTATTAAAAAATAGGTAAAGAAATAATAATAAGACTTACTCACAATCAATTTAATTTAACAATCTGACGACCGGTTTCGCTTTCTACAATTTGCAAAGCATCCTCAGGTCCAGATACAAAGTTAAACTAATGCTGCAATAAAATAAACCCAATTAGGGTGGTGTCTAATAAAGATAAAATAAATAAATAAGTTAGTTCATACAAATCATAGTAATTATGCCAATATTACATGTCTGTGGTTTTCAAAATGAATAAATTTGAATATATAAAAGGTATTAACAGACAAGGTAAGACCCACAATTGGTATAAAGTAGTAATATTATATTGTAATAAATTAATAAATGAGCAGATAAATAAAACAAAACAAACATTACTTACATGCCGGTACTCTATTAATTGATGGATGGTAGGTCATGGTTGCAAAAATCATGTATTGTTGATTGGAGAACTTTAATGTGCTATTGCAGTTGTTTTGACAATAAATGGGAAGTTCTGATCAGTTTGGATCAAATCTGTTCTCCTCAAAAACTTCCCGTTTATTGTCAAAACAACTGCAATAGCACATTAAAGTTCTCCAATCAACAATACATGATTTTTGCAACCATGACCTACCATCCATCAATTAATAGAGTACCGGCATGTAAGTAATGTTTGTTTTGTTTTATTTATCTGCTCATTTATTAATTTATTACAATATAATATTACTACTTTATACCAATTGTGGGTCTTACCTTGTCTGTTAATACCTTTTATATATTCAAATTTATTCATTTTGAAAACCACAGACATGTAATATTGGCATAATTACTATGATTTGTATGAACTAACTTATTTATTTATTTTATCTTTATTAGACACCACCCTAATTGGGTTTATTTTATTGCAGCATTAGTTTAACTTTGTATCTGGACCTGAGGATGCTTTGCAAATTGTAGAAAGCGAAACCGGTCGTCAGATTGTTAAATTAAATTGATTGTGAGTAAGTCTTATTATTATTTCTTTACCTATTTGATATGGACTCACACAAGCAACACATTCATGATTTATTAAAAAAGTTTAAAGGAAGTTTTTAGTTCCTTAGAAAGTAATCTCATCATCATTCTCAGTGTATTCTACCCATTATAGTGCAGCCTTTCCTACATAGTCGTTCTTTATTTCGGCCCACGATTGTTAATATTCGCTCTTTCTGTGCCATTTCTACCCGCTTGTTTCCTTTTGTCACATGCCCATCTTAAATTTGGGCGCCACGTTGGTCTTTGTTATGCAGACAATGCAATACTACTATTTTAAAGTAAAGCTGATTTACAAATTATGCTGCACCAGTTTAATATAACCGCCAGTAAATTTAACATGTTAATTTTTCCAAAAAAAGACAAAATGCATGGTTACAACAGCAAATTTACTAAGATGTAAATTGGCGCTGGAAGGTCAGATAATAGGTCAAGTGATGGAGTTTAAATATCTGGGCATCACATTATCTAGCTCCGGAAAGCTCGAAACTGAAGTGGAAGATCAAGTGAATAGAGCAAACAGAGCCGCAGGATGCCTGAATAAAACAATATGGAGAAATAAAAATATCGAGAAACAAATTAAAGGCAAAATTTACAAAACAGTATTCAGACCAATAATAACATAGGCGGCAGAAACAAGGCCTGATACAGAGAGGACAAAAAGGAAGTACAGATATACGACAAAGATGCAAGGTGGAGAACATCAAGAACTGGGTAAGAAATAGAAAAGTAGAATGGAACGATCATATAAGCCGAATGACAATAAATAGACTAGTAAAGACGGCAAGAGATGGTTCCCCAATAGGAAGACGATCAGTAGGAAGACCACGAAAACGATGAAACGGCTTCTTTTGGGGTAACATTTATAAACAGAGAGTGTCATGTCTACATGAAAAAAATAAGAAGATAAAGAAGAAGAGTTGGTCTCTTGAGTTCTCATGGATACCACAGTGTATTTATAGTGGACCATCTATTGTCAGTGCTTCTGTCATTTTAAAGATTTAATTATGTGGATTACATCAGTGATCTCGGTTGTCAGTCTTTTCCATTCTATTACTTTGCGATCTTTCTTTGTTATACCTAGCATGAATTGCTCCATTGACCTTTGAGTGACTTTGACTTTGCTATTATCTCTTTCTATAGTGTTGCCGTCGTATGTCATGATTGGGAGTACACGCTGATTAAATGCTTTTTTCTTCGGGTGGAGTGGCACCCTAGATTTTAATATAACTTCATTTTTAGCAAAAAAAAAAGTCGAAGCCAGTTTTATTATTTTTTTAATTTCTGGGAGTAAAGAGCCAGATTTATGTATTAATTATTATCTCAGGTATACATACTCATTTACTATCTAAAGTGTAGTGTTGTTAATTATTACATATTGGACATCCATTAGCTCGTTACATGGTTTTTGTTTTTGTCACTTATTTTTGTCGACCTATAAATGAGATAATATTAAAGGTAAATCCAGATCGTCTTCATTGAAAAACAACTTCTGAAGCTCTGATAAAGGGAAGACGTAGATATTCTAAGCAAATATCTGTATTCAAATTGCCATCGAAAAAATATGGGTCTATAATCCCAGCCCAACAATTAACTCTTTGTGTCACTTTCATATGACTTTCTGAAAATCAATGTGGATTTTCCAAAATCCAAAAGCATTTAGTTTACTTGTCAACTGTTCCGTCTGAATAAAATATTGCTACTTTAGAAAACAGGATACAGTTTGATATTACTTTAAAGGGATACTAATTTTTATTCTTGATATTTCGATGAACCGATGAATATGGCAATCTAAGATTGGTAAGTGTAGGAAAAACAGAAGCATAGGGATTTTTAATAACACAAAACATAATATTCTTGGTCGTCCTGATTGGTCCTTGGTCGTCCTGATCTAAGAAAATTTCAGTTGTATTAAAGTGTTAACTTGTAATAAAGTTCCTAATTTTTTTCTTTGTCTCTCTCATTAACACCCACAACCATTATAGGAAAATTACGTCACTACAGATATCTTTTTCTCTCTACCCTCCCCTCTCTAACTATCTATCTATCTATCTATCTTGTAGTTTCCATTACTGAGGATCGCGATTTCCTCACCACATTAACTATTGTTTCCTTGTTATATAGGTTATACTGCTTGTCAACGCTATTTTTATTTCTTCTGTTAGAAGTATGGCTTCTTCTTAGAGTGCCGTCTGCCTAAGGAGGTTGGCAATCATAATGGCTATTTTTATTTAAGAACTTGCTGCTTTAAATAAATCAATCGATTTGCATCGATAAAAATCACGTAGATTCTTTAACCATGAGTTCTGCCTTCGGTCAACTGATCTTCTTCCTTAAATCTTTCCCTATATTATGAGTCTCAAAATTTCATATTTTGGTCCCCTCATCACGTGGCCTAGCTACTCCAGTTTTCTGGTTTGTATAGTGGTGATTAGTTCTGTTTCTTTATCAACCCTCTCCAGTACCTCGTTATTTGTAATTCTATCAGTCCATATATTGCATTGTATGAAATCCGCGTTTAATTTTTGGGTTTATTATATTATCAATTTTTATTTTCAGGATCAAATTATGGCCCTTATGTACCAAAATTTGGCACAGTAGAAAATCTAGGACATGCCTTTATAGCGATTAATCCAAAAGTATTCGCACCTGGAGTAGAAAATAGAATGAGTGACTTGATGAATCTCTTAAGAAATATGGAATCTGTAAGTTAGCCAGAAAGATATAACTTTATTTTCTTTTTTTTTTTAATAAATATCCACCACTGAATAAAAATAATAAGAACTACCTTTTAATGCACATTTTTTTTGTAGTTTCCACCTTTCACATCTGCACATGTCCCTCCATGGTTTATCTTTCTTTAAAAAATATTTATTTTAACTAAAAAAATTGTTAATGTGCTTTACTCACTTCACATGTATTTCAGATAGATCCAAATCTACCAGTCTTAGTCGCTGGTGATCCTTCAAGACAAAATATGGAAAAAGTTCATAAATATGGAGGTTTATCCTACGTCCAAAATCAACACGATACGAATAAGAAGCTTGCTGAAAGGCTAAATGTTTCACCAATGAAATCGATTTGAGTGATAGGGCATATATAAGACATAAATGTTATTTAATTCATGCTTTACAGGATGTTAAACCACAACTTAGCAGATAATAAAATGCTTCACCGAATTTTTTTTTATTTTAATTTTTACCGTGCGATATAAAACTCACCTTCAAAAAACTTTAAAGTCAACCGTATATACGAATTTCTGACTATTGGTCGTCTTCAGTTCGGTGCGGCCAAGTTAAGGAGCATGTTAACTTGGAAAAGGATTTTCGAATATCGTTAATTTGCAAAAAATTTGCAATTTTTTATTCAATAAGAGATATATTAACATATTAAAACATTGTTTTTAAATTTAAAGAAATTTTCATAAAACAAATTTTCGATTTTTATAAAGGTACTTTACTCTTGAGCGAAATTCGAAATTTTTGACATATCAAAATGCGGATTGGCTATTAAACCAATCCGGACTTGAAAAAAGAAATTGAAAATATAAAATGGCCGGCATAGGAATCAGCGAAACAGGACGGAAAGTTGAAGGGCTATTGGAATTAACGTCATAAGACGCATTCTACTACAGAGAAACAGCAACGAGCAAAACCCAGCCAGATTCCATTTGTATTGGATTCCAAATCAACAATAAATGGAAATGAATGGTAGTAGAAATAACTAGTATCTCGGATAATTAATAAATATATAAATATAAATAATTACCCACTGATAAATAAACCAGAACTCTAAATGAGTCCGCTAGATGCAAAACTCTGTATTTGCAAAAATTCTAAAAATTGAGTTTTAGCTGACAGTTATTTGTCACATGTTATAGCTATCTGCTGATGTAGAAATTCAGCAGCAAAGTAAGGTATTTACTAAGAAAAAGGCATTAGAAATCTTGAGTCAGACGCAAAACTCTGTATTTGTCAGCCTATGCCAGTTGCATAACTGTGTAATTGCAATTGGCCAATCGCTTACATTGTTTGAGTCACATGGCACGTCTCATGTGCACATGTCAATTATTCCACCATTCGCCATTACCGGTTTCACTGTTTGTTATTCGAGTACTAAAAACACCAAGTTTATTGCAAATAATTAACATTATGGATTTTCATGTGCATATTAGACCTTGTAAAAAAGGAAAAGGGAGAAAACGAGTTGTACAAACAGAAAAATGGAAATGAAATGTAATGAAACTTAAGAGGTGTCTACAATTAACTAGATAGGTTTGGGACTTATTGTCAATATTTTTAGGCATAAACCTAAGGATTTACCCGGTTTTCTTACCTGTAACCATCCAAAGAAAGTGTATTGTTGTATAGATTTAAAGATGCGAGACATTCAGCGTTTCCATAATAACCTGTATTCAACTACTGACAAAATAAAACAAGATATTTTTTTGCTGAAATTTTGTGAAGTTTAAAAGCCCAACAAAAGGTAGATTTGATCCAATAAAATTATCTATCCAAACATTTATGGGGCGTTTGAACGGTGCAGAGAGTCATTATAATAGAGGACGATCGACTAGATTGTATTTACCATGTGATCTGAATTTTACAAAGCTTTACAGAATGTATTGTCAACGTAATCCACATCTTTCCGTAAAGTTATCATATTTCCGAACATACGTTAATGAACACTACAGTATATCATTCGGCACTCCCTTAGTAGATGCTTGTTCTGCGTGTCTCAGAGCGAAGGAAATTTTGAGAAAAGAAAATTCAGAAGAAGAAAAGTTAAAGGTTATAACAGAGCAGAGAGTTCATACGTTAAGAGCTAAAGCCTTTTATTCTTTGTTAAAAAATGAATCAAATCATAACATACAAATATTTTCTTTTGATTATCAAAAAAATCTTTCTTTGTCAAAGCTTCCCGACCAGGCGGCTTATTTCTCACAGCAAATAAATTTTTATAATTTCACCATCGTGGCTGGAAGTTCGAAATCCCATTTTTCTTCTGCAAATGTGACGTCATATGTGTGGCTGGAGTTTGAACATCCAAAAGATTCAAATGCTGTTGCCTCTGCTGTACATGATACTCTCATAAAATTCAACTTTAAAAATCAAATCGAAAAAGTTCACCTATTTGCAGATGGATGTGGTGGACAGAACAAAAATAGCACAATGATGTCTATGATAATCTACTGGTTGGTTTATGAAGCACCTGGTCACATCAAGGAAGTAGAGTTTACGTTTCCTGTTGTTGGTCATTCCTTTTTGCCACCAGATAGGATTTTCTGTATGATAGAAAGGGAGATAAAAAAGAAGAACGTTGTAATAAACAGAAAAGAATATGAAGACATAATTGAAAAACACTCAAAGGTGCTGAGACTTGGTAAAGACTGGCAGATATCAGACTGGAGAAAGACGAGTGACGTTGTTGTTAAAAAACCCCAGTGGCATTTTAAATGTAATGCAACGAAACGATTTATATTTTCTAAGGACAAAGATTATATGGCTACGGCAAGGGGGAAAATATTTTATTGTTCTGACATAGGGTTCAGCAAGTCTATAATACGAAAAGGGAAAAAGATTTCTTTATTGAAACCAAAGTTACAACAGATTAGATGTTCATTGAAAGGAGATAAATCGTCCATAGGCACTCTCCTTAGAAACCATTTTGATGAAAATTGGAGAGACCAGCCGGATCTCAAATTTTATAAAATTATAGATACTGGCGTACAAGCAAATAATAACGAGAGTGCTGCAGAAAATGATCATATTGATGATGAGGACCCAGAGGAACTTATGGTTTAGGAATTAATATAAATATATACATATTATAATTTGTAATACCTTTTGTACTTTGGATAAAAAAAAAACTTCACTAAAAGTTTACTTCCACATGCTTTCTTCCTTATTCCTAACACACTAGGTTTAGAAAACAGACTAATATAACAACCACTAATATCGTTAATGGTTGACTATTATCATGTATTTGCAAATGTTAGTTGCATAAATCTGTATTTACATAGTTCACTTGCAAAACTCGGTATTTTCAAATTTTTCTCCCTTTTTTAGCAAACCCAATAACTTTTCTAAGAAAAAAATCATTTTATTGTACCTAATAAAGCATTTATCTATCACAAAAAAGTGCCATTTATTATGTCTAAGGTTTTTTGCAAAATTTATCAGTTTTTTGCAAATAACTCAGTTTGACTTACTATACAGTAAATTCAAAGTTTTGCATCTAGCGGACTCAAATAATAATATAATACTCTATTAACTCTAATAAAAAACTCTTAAAGAACATCAGAGAAGCATTAAAAAACAATCTTCTTCTTCGCGTGCCATATCAGAATTATCCGACGTTGGCGATCACCATTGCGCAAGATACTCAATCTTCTGAAATATAAAATAATTGTCCCGCATTTGATATCCGAGTCCATTCACGAATATTCCTCAGCCAAGAAACCTGTTTCCTTCCTACACCTCTACGGCTCTCTATTTTGCTTTTAAGGATCAGTTGTAATATTTCATATCGACTTTCCCTTAGTGTATGTCCCAGATAAGATATTTTTCGATGTTTAACAGTCTTTAGCAGTTCTTTATCTTTGTTGACGCTCCTTAGTACGTCTTCATTAGTTTTCCTTGCTGTCAAAGGTATCTTCAGCCTTTGTCTATGAACCTACATTTCCAATTCTTCAATTTTGTTCATGATCGATACTTTTAGCGTCCACACTTCTTCACTATACAAAAGTACGGACCAAACATAAAACTTTATCATTTTTTGTCTTAGTTCTAAACTTAGATGATTATTGCAAAGAAATTACTTCATTTTCGTAAAAGTATTCATTGCTATTCTACGTTTTATTTTCATGTCTGGATCTAGTTTGTCCGTTATCACAATTCCCAAATATGTCATTATGTAAACTTTCTCAACTTAGACTCCGTTTCATTGAAGCTTTGCATCGGGATGTGGGTCACGACTAAAACTAAAAATTTGGTTTTGATTGAGTTTATTTTTATGCCCATTTTCTCTCCTACCTTGTGAATACGATCAAGCAGGACTTGGAGATCTTCAATATTATGTAACACAATTACTGTATTGTCTGCATATCTAATAACATTAAGTAGTTCTCCGTTGATTTTTATTCCATACGATTGTCTCCTAAGTGCCTTCTTAAATAACTGGTCCAAGTAAAAATTGAACAGTGTTGACGACAAAATGCAACCTTATCTGACTCCTCATTGTATAGAGATTTCATCGGTGTAGTTATCTCCACTTTTTACAATAGCAGTTTGATTCCAGTACAAATTTTTAATGACACGAATATCCTTGTCATCTATTTCGATATTTTTCAGTATTTGCAATAATTTTATATGCTGTACTTTCTCGAATGACTTTTCGAAGTCCACGAAACATACAAATACATCTTTTCTTTGGTTACAACATTTTTGTAATAGAATTTTAAGCGCAAAAAGTGCCTCCCTAGTTCCCATAGCATTTCTAAAACCAAATTGGGTAATTTCAAGATCTTCTTCGCATTTGCGTCTACTTCTGTTGTGAAGTATTCTTAAAATTTTAAGAGTGTGGCTCATTAGACTAATTATTAATCGATATTCTGAGCATTTTCTCGAATTGCGTTTTTTAGGTATCGCGATACCTATTTTAGGTATAACCCGACAAACGAGAGCTGGCGGGTTGCGTGTAGAACAAATTGAAAAGTGGAAGGGATTGCTCGTTTCTATTGCAGTCGGCTAGGAGTTCACATCGTGTATAACTGTTTAAGTATACAAAATACAAACAGTAAATTTACTGTTTGTATTTTGAGAACGATTTCCGAAGTGAAAATTGAAACGTCAATAAACGTATTTTTATCTTTAATTGTGGCTTATTCCCAGTTTAATAGTAATTAATATTTTATTTTATATTGTAATGCATATTCTCAAAGCAAAGTGAAAAAATCAGCAGGTTCTAAATTGAACGTATATATTTATACTCTCTTTTTGATGTCCTCATAATATTTATATAGAGGTCAGCGCATGATGACCTTCTTGTTTTAAAAACTATTTTATTCTGTGTACCCAATTATTGTGTTTCTTTTTCTTGTTTTTATAAGTTCTCTTCTCTAAAACTTGTTTTAATAATAAGCAGAGTTTACCAATACTACACTTTTGATGAATAT